ATAATAACTGTCAGTCAGACTAGGCTACAATTTGGGTAATGAATGGGGAAAAACCCTCACAGCAATATGTTCGGAGAGTAAGTCAGACATATGATGACTCTTTCCTAGAACTTTCCTAGAACAAGATAAGATTATGAGCACGAAGAGGCAGAATATCAGATTTAGAAAAAAAGTATATGAAATAATTGTCATTATGCATTATTTGGAAGGCTATCTAACTTACTATCTCATAAGAAAAGTAGCAAACAAAGTGCTTGAAGCTTCCTGTGGGTTGAAAGTTTTATTCTCCTGTTACTTGTGCCATAAAGATGCAAGTGTTTTGTTCTGTAAACTACAAGAACACATAGTATAAAGACTGAAGTTTTCAACTACTGGAATTAAATTGTTGCTTAAAGTCAAACGAGCATGCCACATCTTGGAGTCCCTTTCATCAAAGCAGGTCAGTTAACTTTATTACAGTCATCTTCAGTTTGCTTTGATGTAACATCAGAACCCAGCCCAGATGATTCCAGATGATCAGCAAATAGTTTTCCACATTGGAGTCTTTCAAGGACATAGACTTTATGAAGCGTCTAGTTGTCTGGATTCTTTAACTTCTAAAGTGCCGAATTTGACTTCCTTTTAATAAGTCCTGCTTGTGCTTTTTTTTTTTTTTTTTTGACTTTTCTCTGAAACTGAGCCCCCTTTAAGATGCCGTATATCGGGCAAGTAAAGCAGAGGCATGCAGCACCACTGCTTGCTATTAGTGTCTTTTAAGTCTAAGGCTGTATCATGCAGGAAGATTAGGCTGCTGTGTATTTCCTTTTGGGTGGGGAGAGATCTAGAGTCTCAGACATGTAATTTCTGTAATTAATTGAGCAAGGACTAGTTGTCACGCCAGGGATGGCAACATTAGGGCCTTCTGTTCCATTTTTCCTAAAGGAATACTAAAGCTGGTCAAAGTGCCAAAGCGCCCCTCATCCTGAATTGGAACAAAAGGGACAAATGTTACAATTTCCATCAAAATGAAGCTCCCTAAGATATTTTCAGAAATATTGAAGTGCTTCACTTAGTAAGGTAAAAGAATTTCCGCTGTTTGAAATAACTAACTGCAACATAACTCTTAGAGTTTTAGTCATGTTTCAGCTGAAACTATGACTCTCTCGTTCTCCACTTTTCTTACAGAAAATTATTTCATTAGAAAATTCAAATAGTCTTTCTTAAATACCCCAAATATCACAATATCACATTTTTAGCTTACAGCTTGTTCCTTTGCCATGACCCCGTTGGATTCTATCAGTTCCTAATTGTGAGCCTCCCTTGTGCTAGTTTCTCCTTGTCCATGCCGAATGCAGAAGTGTAGTACCCAGCTGCAGGTTGATCACTGATGCTAACCCAATTGCTTGATGATGATTGCTGTGAGATATTTTTGAACCAGTTTTAGTGGAAGAAAGATTCATAAGGTACATTTCTGCAAAGAAATGTGAGCAATAAAGAAGAGTACTTTGTGATGTATAAAGTAAATCTGTTCAGTTTTTCGGGGGGAATACTGTTTTTCAAGAGATCACAGGCTAATATTAATCACTGAGAGTAGGAATCATTGGTGTGTTTGTGCATTAAAAACAAACTGTAGGCATCACAATACTTGTAATAACTACAATAGAACCTGTCAGGACTGCACTGGGGGGTGGCAACCAGTGTCGTAAGTCCTATCCAGACCCAGCGCGCTCAGTTGTGACTCTTAGTAAGCAGCAATTGAACACACAGTGCTATGTTTTGGATTTGTCTCCGAGTGAATTGCTACCTTGGCCAAAAGTCTGGACAGCAGAGACACCTGAAAAAAGAGACGTCAGGTTTTCAGCTGGGCAGAGATTGGTGTGGCCAACCGAAGGTCACAAGACAGACTCTTACCCCCTCTTCTTCTGCACAGAGGGGGAGCATGGCTGAGCCAGGGATGCAAAGGCTTTCTAAATATTTCTGCACATACCTCAAAAGAGTTTCATGAATTCAGGAATAGCATGAGACATGAATGAAAACTATATAGGTATTTGAAACAGTTATAATAATCTTTGGAAAGCTTCTGCTTGCTTTTTTGCAGTTGTTGCATTAGGTCCAAATTCTCTGGGGTTTAGTGGCTTGTGCTGGTGACTCCTTGTGATTATTTTTTTTTGTTAGTGGGAAGGTGGTGAGCAGGAGTAGGTGCTCTGCCATCCTGCTGGGGCTCAACTCAGTCCAGCTGAACTGATTTCTTGCATTCTCCTTGTGCATTTTGAGACAAGACAAGAGCACTTTCCTGTTTGTCTTCTGGGTTTGTTCCATACCTTCCTAGAGGAAAACGTGTTTGGGAGAGGAAGACAACACAGGAGGCCTGCGAGGAAGAGTAGTCATTAAACAGCAGGAAGGCTCTGTTTTGCCAAATGTTGGGGGATAAGTCATCCAAGGTGGTCCAAGATCCTAGTTTGGCAGTGTGACTGACTGAAGAAGAGAGCTGTGTACTGATACCACGTTCCCTTGCCTTGAGCATACCTTTCATTTTTCCTGGCATTTTGTTTCACTTACAGCTTTGAAGAAGTTCATTATTGATGAAGCATCAGTATCAATCCCAGTAGCTCGGTGCTTTCGTCTTTTCTCTCTGTGTACCAGTAATACAATACCCTAGAAAAAGGTGCTGTTTTGAAGCTTCATCTTTGTGCTTTCCCCTCATGGGTGCAGGGCCTGTGGGGCTTCTGCTCGTGCCTCTCTTCGATCTCCCTTGCTAGTGAGACCTGGAGCTCACCTCCCTCACATGCCTATAATGAGACCATGGCTGTGCGAGCCTCTTGTTTTCCCTTCTTTTCAACAACTCACTAGGCTTGAACGCTTGGAGCTGTCTGAATTTTTCAAAAGCTTGGCCATGCCAAGAATGTTTTTCTGTAGGGTGTCCTTTTTCCTTCTTCTGCCCTCCCTCCCCCTGCTAAGAGTCATGATTCACTCTGAGGCAGTTGAGCGTTTCAGTGCATGATGATGAAGAACATGAAGAAGACATCAAAGACACAAACACAAACAAGTTCCGTCCTGACTTGGGATCACTGATTGCAGTATGAGGGATGAATTTCTGTAGGCAGTGTCTGAAATTCAGTACCAAATTTCACAAGTACTGCAGGTACTCAGTCCTTCTATATTCAGCCAGACTATTTGTAGTGTTGCTCTTAACCTCAGCACAGGGTTTTCTCATAAGCACCTACAGCAGAAAATGCCAACTTTATTCTTTCAGACCACTAACGAACCACTGTCTCTCTGTTCTGTCCTGTAATTAAGCAGAGATGATGATGGAGCAATAACAAGCGAGGACAGTGTTAGCAGTGAGGTGCAAGAGACATTCCTCCATGAGGGACTAAACTGTCCCAGACCTTATTGTGACTTAAAGAAGCAAGTCCCAGCTTTGTACTGCCTTGCGTGTTTGTTCCTAGCAAATGTTGACAGTTTCTTTCTGTCTTTCTCTTTAATTATATAGTTGAAATAATGACATTTTCCTCTTGAAAAATTCTTAATTTGAAAAATGTTGAGCGGGTCAAACTAATTGTTTTGCTCGGCGTTGAAAATGATTTGGAGGATATTTGCACATTTCTGTATGGTATCCCCAAGACTATTATAAATAACTTTTTTGCTTATAATGACTTGTTGATAGGCGGCCTTTTGGAAAGGAAAGCTTTGACATTAAACACAGGATATTTGAAGAGCTTATTTATGAGAATTCAGCACCAAGTTAACTGCCTGTTGCCATGGAAGAAGTTCTTGTCGATGTGATCATATGGGCATTTTTTATGTTAGTTCAGTTTTGTTTTACATGTGTTTTTGAGTTGAGCAGTAATATACCACTGAATGAAACCTATGAAACACATTGTTGACAGGCTAATATCTCATCCCTAAGCAACGTGGGGTTAATCATTTTAGCTCAAGTGTGTCCAAACTTTCTGATCCTATAAACTGTATAGAGCTGAGTATCCTACGTAATACACATATTTCGTTTGTCAGAGATCTGAAGGGCAGAGGATATCCAGAGTAATTCCCAGGTGAGAGATGGTGTCAGCTCCTTAATAGTTTTAGCACATCTCTGTGGGAACAGGCAGGGCAAGGTGTACAGTTGAGTCCAAATGACCTATCTATTGACTCACATAGTGATGTTAGATTTACCCTGTATTTCCCAGCCAGGAGCAGCTGGTGACCAGTCACAGAGCTGTATTCCCAGCATGGGAACCAAACCTGAACCATTCAAGAGCTGCAGGTGGTCTTAGAGCCACAGAGCACGTGCCTCAGCTCCAACACTTACTCCAGAACTGACATTAATATGGGGTTAAACTGGCAAATCTCTGCGTGGTAGAAATTCAACATTATCTCCCTTAAAATGAATGGAATTCTAATGGGCTATACTGGGAAAGGGCCTGGCCTCCAGTTTGTATGAGGAAAATTTACCTTTTCTCCTCATACTCCTTTTCCATCTCTCCTGAGTATTTGAGCTTCTGCTGGACTTCATGAAGGGATTTAGTATGTACAGTGTTTAGTGATGGTATCTTTCAGTTGAACACCGTTAGCAGTTGAGGGCACCTAACCCCCAGGACAGGCTATTGTGGGAAGTGGTAAGTTTTAGTAAGAAGTCCCTAAGACCTCTTAATCTGAATTGTACATTTCAAATGCAGACATAGTGAGTTGAAATTAAATCTCTTAAGGATAATTAGGCATTTTGGAATGTTTGGAATCAAGTTCCCTGTTTCCAGGGATTTATGCAGGAAAAAGGAGAGGCTGTGAAAGATGCTAATTGATTCTTTATAGTTTGCTTATTAATAATTACACATTGATACTACAAGATGGACTCTGGCTGAAAAGCTGAGGATAATTTCCACAGAGCCATGAGGGTTCCAGAGCTGAGTTTCATGGGAGTTCAGATCTTGTTTGTCTAAAAACATTCTGTGGTCACAGAAGAGGTCAGATCCGTTTCATTTATATAAATAATTTGATTTTTTTTTTTTCTCTTTTTCATTTAGGTCTGGCAAAGCCTATGGGATTAGTTGAAGGTCCAGGAGGCCTGGGCCAGGGGGGAATGGCTGCTACCCTGAGAGATGATAGCCATGAATCGGAGACTAAGTATGAAGAATATGGTTACAATGCCCAACTCAGTGACAGGATATCACTGGACAGGTCCATCCCTGACTACAGACCAAAAAAGTAAGTTGAATTCCACATTACTGTTAAGAGTAAGCGATTGATTGTTGTGCTGTTGACCCGTGGTGGCGTTCTTCTCTTCACATCCCTTCCTGGTTAGACTATGGCAGCAGTTAATCGTACATATACCCCTGAGTTTAATGAAAATTAAAAAGACCAACTGCCCTCTCAGGCATGAAGTGTCATGGTAAATGCAGAGCTAATTCTGTGAATAATGCATTAATATACACATTCAAGGCCTCAGATCAAAAATGTCGTCAGGATATTGTGATGGTTCAGGTGGATTTGGTTCACTTAGAAAAAGCCAGGTAGTGCCAGCTGAGCCCACCGTCAGAGGTGGGAGCCTTAGTCTGTGCTCCTGTGCACTGTGTCACGTGCAATGGAAGGTGGGGCAGTGACAATAAACCCTTTGTATACACTGGTCACTTAAAAAAAACCCCATCAAATCAACTGCCTTTTCTTTAATTGCATTTGATGTTCTTAGAATTGTTTAGTCGGTGTTTACAATGTGCTGAAAGATGGATTAAGTGTAGATCCTCAGGGTCCTATAATTGCAAGAAGATTTTTTTTTTGTCTTTGGAATGTGTGTTTATTTTTATTCTAGTGTTATAGTCTTCACATGCCTGCTCTATATGTGACATTGCAATTATATGTTTAATATTTGTACTGATTTATTATATTTTGTATTAAATGTCTTTCAAATCTTTCAAATTTATGGAGTTATGTATCTTCCAGATGAGACATCCGCACTATCATCTTTCGAATGACAATCAGTAATGTCTTAATGCAGAGGAGATCCGCAGCAATGCCTAGTTACTCTCAGGAGGCAGAATTGAAAAGAATACTTAATTAATTTCTAATAATAATCTTCTGTTTTAAAAGACCCACTGGGGCTCCTCGACAAAACTGAAAGTTAAATAAAAAAGTATCGTATTAAGTGGTGAGAAAAGTTTAGCCAAGCAAAACAGCTGTGCTATGTGAGTAGATTGCAATTGAATTAGGATTTTAGGCAGTTCAAGCTGCCAAAAACAAAATCCAGCAAAACAAAACTTCAGCTTAACTACAAATTTCATTAGCTGTGTTACATATTAATCTAATCTCTGAAGTATTGACTCAGCATTTGTTTTCTCTTGACACTTTGCTATACAAAAGAAAACCTAGATAAAAGAAGTGGCAAAGAGAAAAAAATCTACTGCTTTGATATCACATTTGGTGCAAGTATACTGACCTGTACAATGGTCTCAACTCTCCATCTGTCTTGATGTATCATAAAAATCCATCATGGAATTATTCTGGGGAAAAAGTAGTCTATAGTTATGCAAATATTTGAGTTGTGCATCAGATCTGGTCCAAAGACTCTTAAAATCAGCATGAAGTTTTTCAAATGAAAGTCAGTGAAGCTTGACCTGGGCTGTTGTTAGCTGCTGTGGTCACCTGGATAATAAATGAGAATGCTCTATGAGGAAACACAAAAGCGAAGGTTGCTGAGCTGGAATCAAGCTCAGCCGCTGTCAGAAGCATAAGAGCATTTGCAATGCAGTGACGTTTCACTTCAGATTAAACTCTTCCAGTTTTACTTGGCGGCTTTGATGAGTCATTCAGATAAGCTTTTTGACGTGCTCATTTTGGGAATCTCGTAAGGCCATGCTGCATGATTAACTGTCTGAGTTACTGGGAGAACTGTCTCCCTTGTGCTGTTTTGACACTTTTGCGGTGGTTCTAGTTAGGTCTAGATGCTGGAATTGAAGCACTTGTCTCTAGATACTTATAAGCCACAGGAAAACTCTTCAGATTGAATTTGCTGTGAAAAATGAGTGAAAGTTTGGAGAAGGTAGAGGCTCTTACTATATAAAGAGTTTTAGCCACTTGTACCAAAGGAGCTTTTGGCAGTCATTTAGTTGCCATTTTCTGTCAGAAATTTCTGATGTCCTAATGAGCAGTATTTTTTGTCTCTGACCTCTTCAAATGCACAGCTACTCACGTACGGTCTCTCTTGGGAGCTCTCGCTTTAACGCTGAGAGGTAGTTTTCACTCCCGATCCTATCAACCTCTTCGTACCCACCATGTGGTACCACATCTGAATGCTTACCTCACGGGTGATAGTTGTGCATCGTGGCCATAAGGCAGAGCTGAGCTTGACTTTCTGTTTGGTTTCGACACTCTGCTCCAATTATATGTTGGAGAGAACTAAACCTCTGAATCTTTGAGATAGTCTTTGGGAAAACCACTCTTGTTTTGTCCAGCTTTGTATACTGACTTGCTCGATGGTCTCATCTCTCCGTCTCTTGATAATATCTCTCATCCCTGAGCCCTCCTCAGTCTGCTTGTGATTTATATTCAGGTCATGGCCAGAACTTTTGATTTTTAAAAAGGGAGGACTTCTCGTTTTTAAATTGAGAAGCAAGGTAGAATTAATGTCCAAGGCCATGTGCAAAGGCTATGGCCAGTCTATGAATAAAACCACTCACCTGGATTTGCATTCCCAAAGTGTTAAACCACACTTTCTCCTCATTCTGGCTTCCATTTAAAATGTTCAGATCTACATATTTGCACACACCAGTAGGTATTAAAGATAGGAACCAGGAGAATTTGCACTCAAGTCTGCATTGCATAGACAAAATTTATGAAAGTAAACATGATTTCACTATGCAAATGTGGGACTTATATATTCCAGGCTCAGTCTTCTTTTAAAAGAAATTTGATCAGAATTATTATCTTTTAGCTCATTTTATCTTTGAACTCCCCCCATACTGATGTCCAGTATTTTATTCTGGTAGAATGAGCCTTTTGTTCCATCTACTAGCATAGCTTCAGTAAACATTCAGCAGCTTAATTGCTTTTCAGGAGGTATTTTCATCCCCACACAGCAAATCAAAAAAACCCCAAGTTACACTAAAGAGGTGTACAGTCAGACAGCGTGACCATGAAGGATCCTAAATCGGAGTCACCTCTATGTCCTTTCACTGCAGTGGAGTCTGCAAGCCTGGATGGCTCGTCTGGCTCTCGCGATGGTTTTCCCATATACTCGCGCTGTGTTCTGCTTTCCTGCCTGCTGCTGCCAGCACGGATGGTCCTTTTCACTCAGAAGCCTTTTCTTTAAGATAGGAATCACTAAGTCAGTGCAGGAGACAACAGCAGATTTTGTGCATGTTGTGTTTGTGTGCCAAATGGAAGCGATGACAGTAAATAGCTTGCTTGTGATTACAATTCACACAATAATTACAAAATTACAGTTTGATCCTAGCATGGTGTAATAAATACATCTCTGCTCTTTCTTTTCTGATATTGCACCTCCCACAGCTTGAATGCTTGCCCTGTCTCTGTGTAGAAAGCAGAGAACCCTGGGGAAGCAGTTCAAAAACATATTGTGAATTGATATTTCAAGCTATGTTTAGTTTCAAGAGACATGTCATATAGAGAAGTTGCAATTTTGTTTTATAAAACAATGCAAAGCCTCCCCAGCAGCTTGTAACTTTACTCCGTGTGACCTTGGACACTATTTTTGTTTCTTGTTGGATTTCACCTAAATCAAATAGGCTGATTTCAAAGTTGTGCTGATGATCTTTTCATAACGTATTATATAAGTCTTAATGGTGACTTTTGCCTTGAAGCAGCTGAGTACAGTGCAGCTGAGTGCTCTGAGAAGAGGCAAGGACTGAGTAGTGGGAATGAAATGTGTTTGAGTTCAACGTCAAGCAGAATATTCAGGATTTATTATGATTGATTGATGAGAAATGTTCAGCTAATCATCCTAATATTGGAGCGACCTGAGAGTTTGCTTCACATACTCAGTGGAAAGTGGTCGACATCTTGTTATCTGTTAAAATTCATGAAAAAAACTCTAAATTAGTGGTCTGGGTAGTACTGACTGTTATTAACCGTCTGAATTCTAGAGGAAATTTTTCAGCACTTATGAAATCTACATTAATGCCAAAAGAATTTTGCGGGATTATTTTTGTTACAAGGGAATTCATAATGCTTGTGATGGAATTATTTTCATCCCCTGCCACACGGGCACATATCAAGCTTGAAAAACGTTTCTCAAGTTAAGGGCGAGCCACAAGAAGAAGGGGCAAGGAAAGCAGCACAGATCTCTGCACGTCCCCGCTGCAGCTCCATCTTTGCTCCCCCGTGTGCTGAAGTTTTTCAAGGGCTGTACCACTGTGGGAAATATGTTGCAGAGAGCTCAGGATGTTTAATGTCCTGGTCTCGCTTCCCAGCAGTAAAGTATTAGCAGGACTTTCTAGCCCTCACTAACTCACCCTATTCCTTCTTGCAATGGAAGAAAGAGAAGCTTCTCTTGTAAGGAATAGGTTATTTTTCCCTTGGAAGCACGCGGCTAAGCTAGAACATGCTCTGTGGTTCTCTGGGGAATGTGTTATTTAATGGTGAAATGCTATTGGGTTAATTTCCATTTATGATGTTCTATATTCAAAATGAGGGTTGTGATCACCTGAACCCCAGTGCTTAGTGGAGATAAATCCAGTGCTGGCCAACGACCCTTATGTATATCTGTGGGAAAGCAAAAACACATGTATTTCTACCAGTTATCTCCACCAATAGGCGTGGATGGAGAGTAGCCTTGAATCCTGCCCACGGGGATGCTGTGAGATCTGCTGGGCTGTGTGCGTGCCGTTCTTACCGCAATGGCACGGGGCCGATGTTTGACTGAATAGTCAAAAACAGATCTGGAGCAACACAGCGAGGAGTCTGATAGAGATCCCACACTTCGGAAGAGAAGTGCCCAGAGTCAGCCACCTAAACCCCTGCGTAGCCATTCGTCTTCAAGGGGCTGAATTTGTTTTGGGTGCTGAGAGCAGAGGAGAGCAGGTTAAGCTGGGACAGGCTGTATTGCTGCAGTAGGCTTCGGGAACGGCAGCAGCTATTCGTCTGCCCTTCTGGGGGAATAACAGCCTTCGCTGCTGCCAGCTGTAGCACAAAATATAAATCTGTGCTCCAGGAACAAAGGATCAGACTCAATCTTTTCCCAACCGTGCATGAAG